TTATTTCTATCAAGCAAAGCTATCTGTTTTTTCTATCCCATTTTATTCTTGTTCTTTTATAGGAGTAGCATGTTTTAAAGCACTAAGCATCATCTTAACTCTGCTTCCAAAGTAAATGTTGGAGTGTTGTTGTAGCCATAATGGTCCAGGAAATAATGTATGAGGCAGAGGTTTGTTATTATATCTTTTTATTGGAACCACTGTATTGCTTTGAGATATGTTGAAAAAGTTTTCAAGCTCAGGGCATTTTGTGCCCAAAAGCTTGTCCAACATCTCTCCCAACTATACAGTTGATCAAACAACTGATTTCCTTGTTCATAAGCATATGTTCCATGCAATGTATAAGATGCATCCCTTCAAAAAGGATAAAAATATAAAAAAAGACTTGTTAACATAAAGTTGATTGAATTTTGGCCAAATTCTAATTATAATGATTTCAACTAGTTTTCATTACAATGCTTTGGTATAGAAGATGCACCTTAATTTTACACTTGCTTTTCAGGATGAGGAGGTGTAGACCCCAGATTTAATTTGTTATTTTTAAATGCCCTGTTGAGCATCAGTAGTAGGAACAAGGCTTGAACAAGCCTGGAAAGAATCAACTTTCAACCTCACGTTCTACTTTTGTAAAGAGAGCATGCCTATTTTTTCCCCACATTGTGGTAAGAAAAAACGAGTGACTGACAGATGAGTGGAGTGACATGCCTGAGGTAAAAATGAGACACGAACCAAAGATTGTTGCAAGTTGAGTGATTGGCAGGTATCGTTCACATGGGATTGTTTAATGGTGAGGCAGTGAGTTGCCATACTCCATATGTCTGAGTTTCAGTGCTAGCTAGCGGAGTTCCCAGTTTCTGGGAGAGTACCGAGACTACTCCAGGTCCAAACCAGTCCTGGTGGTGAGGGGATGTAAGGTGTCTGGGCCTCCGTGCCAGCATGAGCACCTGTGTGTGCCTAGGAGATAGTGTGCTGCTGTGTGTGTTGGCTCCACTCTGAGTGTCCAGTTCACTCCAGGGCCTTTGGATTTCTGGATCTCCCCACCAAGGGAGTGACCAGCAAAGTCTTCAAGTACCAGTGCCTTTGTCCCACCAGGAGTGTGAAACACCAACCCCCCTGTATTGTTATTGTAGCCCGCTTCCACATTTCCCTACTTGACTTGTTGCCTATTGCTGTTGTTACCCTTGATCTGTTTATTCTTTGTTATTGCTGTCATTCTACAATTCATGTTTGTGGTTTTTCTCAATAAATAACCAGTTGAGCTAAACCAAATTACCTTCCTGGCTTCCCTAGCCAGTAATTTATCCACATACCACCTTTAGCACCCTGATTAACATAATCAACACTTCAATCAGATGTTCCTTACACAGGGGGATCACATTCCCTATATATCTAAAAATACATTATGAAAACACATTAGCTTACATTGGGAAAACAAATCTCAATGCAAAATATTTATTAATCCCTTTTTATACCCTGTAGCCCCTTTGGCTAGTATTAACTGCCTTCTGCTGTCCCTAGTCTTGACCAGCTCCTTCGTGTACACACACACATATACACAGTTTGGAGTGTGGCACCATTTCCTGTTTATTAAGGCCCTGCAGAAACTCCAGATGGCTTCCTGCCCCTCCACCAGGTCTTCCCTCTGCAAAGCTATAGATGCCAGACAGGGAGTGTGGTCATATCAGCTGCAGCATCATTTTCGACTCAGTTGCAAAATGTCTGTATAGGAAGCATTGCAAGGTAAGACTCAGCCGGGACCTGGCTCTGCTCTTGGCAAGTAAATAATACAATTTACAGATTCTATTAGCTCATCTCTCTATATACACACATGCATACCCAAAGGTTGTTAGCCATCTTAAATCAGGCAAAGATTTAGGGCAAGATGGCAGCTAGGAGACTGATTCTGAAAGGTATGAGTTTTAATAGGCTACAACCTACTTTGTCAGATAACAGGGTAGGTTGCTTCCTACAAAACCTCTCTGAACCCGTTAGTTTCTAAAGTGCCACCCTGCCCTACCTTCTGCCTATGTTCATGAATGACGTGTGCCCCCAGAGGCTGGGGGGGCACAGTGAGCAACGGCAAGCGGGGAGCTCTCGCAGGCAGCCACTGCAGCGGGGCAGGGGAAGGGATGGGGAGCGCCAACTATCATTCAGTGTCCACCTGCAAATGCCACCAGCAGCAACTGGTGACTGCCCACAAATGCCACCAACGGTGTCAGCAGGGAGGGGAGGGGGGAGACGTGGTGAGTAGCAACCACCCACAGGCACTGCCAGCAGCTGCCAATCTCAGGGGGTGCACCGCCAATCTCAGGGGGTGCACATGCACCTACATGCACCCCTACACATCACCAATGCCTATGCTTATTGATATGATATACAATAGAGCTGGGATAACTTCATGATAAACAAGTCATTGTGCAATCTAACCTAGGTTTCTGTTCACAGCTTTTTATTGCTTATATAGATTTTTCAGTCAAAACTTTCTACAGAGCTTGCAGTTCTCACCTCTGAGCGATCTGACGGTCCTCCTGAATCATGAGTGGCCAAAAGCTGAAGTTTCTGGGGAAGGTCCTGGGAAGTGAAAATATGTATTTATATGTCATCAGGTTTGTAGCAATATTTAATTATCTAGTGAAGAAAGGAAACCAAGAGAACCTTAGTTTTTGGGGGGTGGAGTCCCAATTCAATGTGCTGCAGGATGGCAGTGTCATCCATTCATTTAAAATACAGATGTTAGAATTTGCAAAGAATTAACCAAGTAGCTGTAATTACTGTTTTACCATGCAATCATTTGTTTCCATGTGTGTTACAAGAAAGGGCCAAGGTCAACTATAACATTTTGGTACTCAGGGCCCAAATCATCCTTTCTTGCAGAAAATCCTATAGAATGGTGTCAGAGACAGGAGGGAAGCCCCTCCCACAGCAGAGATAGTCTTGTAGTGTAACATCAGGCACTGGCTTTGTTGAAAGTGAGAGTGGCTGCAGCAGGATTCATTCTAAAACCTTGACAGCCCCTAAGGAACGCATAGTGATCTATAGGGAACTACAGCAAACCATGCAGAGCCCCAAAGTTTTCACACTTATTTCTGGCACCCTGGCTGCACATTTTCATTGAAACTGGCTTACCAGAGACTTGCCCTAGTCATGGCCACTTCCAGGATGCCCTGGAAGCCTGTATGCAGTACAGAGGAGGAGGGGATGAAACAATGCCCAGTGAACAAACCTGAGTCTCCTTCTTCTGTACAGAAAGTGTCCTCTCAATGCTTAGTGGGATTTAACCTGAGCCACTTTATAATCATGCCATGAGGTACTAAATATGAAAATAAATCCACTGGTACCACAAAAGCAAGTAAATGGAGAGACAACCATGTTAAGTGATTCTGCATATCTAACACTTTAATAGGTATTAATTTATCTAAATACATATTTCTGTATTTAGAAGTGTATTTTTAATACATACATCTGAATTATGCTAAATTCCCCAAAACGGCTACTTTAAAAAAGAGGGAAAGTACATAAAGGAAGTCATTTCTCATTATCATTCTGTAAAAGCTGCTTTTTTCAATGTGAATTGTGGGAAAACTTTCCATTTAAGATGGAAATATCAGTTATCAGCAACTCAAATTGCTAGTTGTAGTTTTCCAGGTCTGAAATTGAAACTAGTTTAGTATTTGCATAGAATTTTAAATAGTGATATAATGTTATCTTATTTTATATATTGTTAACCTTTGGACCAAGCAGTTAACAGGTATTCAGGGCCTTGCCAGATTGTTTTTGTTAGAAGGAAAACTTGATGATGGAATCAGGTCTTTGTTTGGTGCAATCTTTTTATTTACAAAGCATGTATAACAAAGTTTCTCTACACACAGCAGAAGCAAACAACTAGAGGCAGTTTCCGTGTTTAGAAGCCCAAGTTTCCCTTTCCTGCCAGTTCTCTGTCCAAAAGAAGCTTCATCTCTTGACTTATTCCCAGGGCTGCGCACCACTTCTGCTTGCTAGCTTTCTTTTGGCACTCTAGTTGCTCTTGGTGTCTGACACCCACACAGCAAACACAGCTGAAACAAATCAGTGCTCTGCCTCCTGACATTTTTGTTAGTCCTCAGGAAAACCCCTCTTGAATTCACCTGGCCCAGGGCAATGGGCAATAGCTTTTATTGTTTCAACTAATTAAAGGAGTGCACCCATTGATATCAACAGTTCATTTTTCCCACACCAAGGAAACAAGACAGAAGAAGTGGTTTCCAAAACAAACAGTAAAACCAGGAACAAAAAAATTAATGTTCATGTACAATTTCTAATATAATCTGGCAGAAGTCAAATTAACTATGTAAAATACCAGACATCTTTGGGAACATTAATTCTCACGGGAGTACAGCTAAAACAAGATTTCTAAAATAAAAGCACAGCCTGATTTTTCAACTGATTTTCTATGCAGATTTCAAACCATAGGCCTAATGCAATGACCGCTGAAGTAAATGAAAGGCCTACTTTCAACACACAGTGTTGTTTTTCCTGTGTCTTTCACTTCACATAGTCATTTACCTTTGTGCAAATGGATGAAAATGTTACTAAATCTAAATAATAGCATGTTTATAGCCAGTTTTCACTAATGGTGCACAGGTGTATGACTATACAACATTCACGCTAGTGGAAAATCAAGCCCATGCAATTGCTGCTAACAAGGTTCAGGCACAATCTTTAGAACTAGCATGGACAGGAATTGTATTTCTGAAAATGGAATTATTAATCATGCTTTGCTATAGACCCTAGAACCAGTTAGTATGCAGCTCTCCCCTATGAGTTCAAGTATATCTCATTAAAACCCATCTGTTCCTTGCCATGGCTCCAGTCTGTTGGTTTGATGTGAGCTGGTTGTTTTGAGATTTAAGCTCTGTGTTACAGAACAGATTAAGTCAGTAGACAGCCTTCTTTTAGTGGCACTCAAAATACTATTATCTTTGAAGTACAATGGGATTGATAGCACAGTACTATTCCATTGTTAAACCTTGCAGTTCACAGACAAAAATATCTCTGGTGCCCCTACTCAGGAAAATAATGTTAAAATTCTGTTTGATAAACATGTTTAAACTTGTAGGACATCATTCAGTTCCCAGTATGGGTGAGGCCTAAAAACTATCCCCAGCTGATAAAGAAAGGCACACTCCTTCACCCAGAACACAGAGGATGAATTAACTCTTCCCTTGCCAACCACTGACTGTTAACCAGTATATCTAGAAGCTGATTTTTTTTTCCAGAGGGTGCCTCTTTTTTCCTTTGCATTTTAGCAATCTTGCGATACTTTCAGTGGCAAAATATCAACTGTATATAAACTAACATGCTGTAACATCATAAAAAACATTGATATGTTACTGTATTATTGTTACTTCATTGTCGTTAAAAAAAAAAGCCCCCCCCCCACAAAAAAAACCCACAAGCAAATAAATTATTTCCTTACCAATTTTTGCTTCTTCTTGACCAACATTTTACTTTGCTGTTTTTCAGGAGCTGGAGTTTTAAGGGCTCCAATGTACATTTACTTCTCTACATCAGCACTCCCACCTTGACAGCAGGATATTGCTATGCAAAAGGGTCAGCACCACTATTTTTCCCAAAGGGTTTTATGGTGCTTCAGCAAAACATCTGAAGGGGAGAGTGAGTAGGAGCAGTATACATAAGAGCACCACACCACTCCAAGGTATTCTGTGTGCGCTCAAAAGCAGATCTGACAACTTTTTCAAGTATTAACATGCACTTTATCTCATAGCAGCTGCAGGCTGGTAGCTTGTGCAGAGAAGTGGGTAGGGCTAAGACTAAGGTATGCAAACTAACAGCCCCATGATTCAAATAGCAGGAAGCTTGCAACAAAGCATTTTCAGTGAATGGTCCATGAACTAGAACTGTTTGCCCCTTTAGTCCACCAGAGTGTGGATGTGGTGATTCTTACAGTCTGAAGTAAGACTTGTCTGGTTTCCCAGTCACATATTTATCAAGAGGAAGGTGAATTGGGGAACAGAGTAAGGCAGAGATGGAGGTCATTTTGCATCTGGAAAGGTCTCCTAGTCTGTTTTAATATTTGTTTCATACATTTTGTTAAAATCTATTGTTTAAAAATTTGTTTTCATATACCCACAGCATGTGATAGGCAACCTAACAAGCTCAAGTTAACTTCTGTGGGACTAATTGTTAGGGACGTGCCAAAATGGTGATTGTTGTGGGGGGTAGTATAAGGCCGAGGTCTGCGCCTGCCCAGCCTCTTACTTGTGTGTGTTGTTGGGGATAACCAGATGGTCTCAACACTGCCTATCCCCAATGTAATTTTCTCACCTGCCAAGTCTTGCCGGGAGTTGGGGGTAGGATGAGTGACGATTCTCCCAGGTTTTCCCCCCAGTGGTTGCTTCATGGGGCTCGTCCTCCCTTGTATCCCACCCTTACCACACCCCTGATGACACATGTTTGGGCTAGGATCTTGTTTAGCCTAAATATACTGCTGGCCATTGCTGGCTGGCTTACTGAATAAAGTTCTTGAGGTATGTTCACTCACTTGGGCTCACAAAGACCTGCCTTCTATTAATTCCTTAAAAGTCCCAGGGTCCCTCAATTAAGATAAGTCCAGTCTCAAGTCAATAAAACAAACCTCCCATTAGTTCACTACCCAGGTTCTTAGGTCTGTCAAAATGAAATCAGTTTACCAAGGATCCACTGAAAGCTCAAAAAAACCCAAGACAAATATGGAATCAAATCCTTCCCAGCTCCTGGGTCTATTAAATCCATCCCAGCTCCTGGGTCTATTAAATTAAATAAGTCCTCCAAGGATCCATCAGATTATATTCTCTCCCAGTTCTCAGGCCAATCTACTCAACAATTTCACCCTGGTTCTTAGCCTGCCTTATCTAGTCAAGGTCAGGTCAATTAACTTTTGCAGGGCACAGATCTTCTTGCTGTTCCCCTGGCCTAGCATGAGAAAGAAACAGCATAAAACACACACACACACAAAAAAAAAAAAGAAGAGCAAGAATCAAATTGGGCTGTGCCCCTGACAACTTATTGACCCACTTGCAGTGACTGCACCCTCACTCTTCCTTCCCCTGCTGTTGGCTGGCCTTTGGCTCTGCCACTTCAGTCCTCACCTGGCTGTTCTCAAGCAATCCCATGGTGCAGAGTGTCTGAGGCTCTGCTAGTGGTCCTCCAACTGCCCTTGCCAGCTGGCTTACTTGCTTCCTTCAACAGTTGGCCATGGGTCACTGTCAGATGAGAAGCCCTCTGTCAGTTCTGCACTCCGCCAGCTATGGTCCTTCCCTGGCTGCCCCCCTCTGGGGCCTTGTGCTCCATCCACCAATCTGGAGGAAGCATGCACTGCAGAAGCACGTTGGCCCTCTCACAGCTCCAGCTAGACTCTCTGCACCAGCAGTGAGTGTTTCCCATGCGAGTTCCTTGGTGCTGTTCTCCGGCTCTGGTTTCTTTCTCTCACAGCAATGTCATGATTTTCACAGAAACCACAATTTGTGGGGGAAGAAGGGTGCACAAAGAAGCATGAGTTCCATGCGTTTGGCAGGCTTCCTGAAAAAAATATACTTACTGAAAATCAAATGCTGGCTTCCTCTCACCAGTCGGTGACAAGGGTTGGAGCCACATGATGGACAGCCCTCACAGCCAATCACCAGTGAAGGGTGGGGCCACTAGGGCCCCTCAGCCAATCAGTAGTGTGGGGACCACATCGCACTCAGCCTGCAAAAATGGCTTCCAACCCCACAATCTGCACCCAAAATTGGTCAGCGGGTGCCTTGAGTTCAGCAGACCCCTACTAATTGTGTACCTGCTTATCCATAGGTGTAAGGAGGTCCTACCTAAGGATAAATTACTAAACACCTTTACGTCATAGATACTTCTCAGAAATGTAAGGATAATTCCAATCTGCAAGATACTGGGCACACATGCTATTACTGCAGATGAATAAGCCCAGAGCTTATTGCTCTGAAGTTAATTGCTCCCAGGTACCTGGAGGAGCAATTAACTCCAGAGCAATAAACTCTGCAGTTCATTCATATGTAACACATTGAGCCAAGGCGGAGCAACCCCAGCTGGCAGGGTGGCCCAGGGGTCAGCCTACCAGCCTGGGGCTGCTCTCCCTGGCTCAATGTGCCGTAAAGGGGTTGGCATTGGGCACAAGTGAGCTTTGGCATGGGGCTAGCTGGCCAGCAGCCCTTGTACTAAAACACCCTTGTGCCCCAGCTTCTGGATATGAAAACTGTGAAGGCTTGGACAGTGTCTCTTGCACAAAAATGCAAGACAATGGCTGAAGCAAGAGTGGGTTGTGGTAACAAGACTGCCATAAGAAAATCAAACTCTGTTAATGGCTTGCAACCCATTAGGCATCAAAACATTGGAGCTTGAGGTACCCAATACCAGAACCATGCCATAAAATAATAAAAGTGATGGTTAAAATTGTTGCCAGAGACCTGACACACTCATCACGTGTGTATCTCCAAGCTAAGAAAGCCAGAGGGAAAGGCTGAGCCAGTGTAACTAAAGGCAAGGAAACTACATCTATATTTTAATTGAACTAGCAACTAAAGAAGACAAAAGAAAAAATATACATTTCAAGCAAAACCTGTAATAGGTGCACTGAACAAAGGAAAAATGTCCTGTACGTGACATCCTCACATTGCTCAAAACAGGCACCCAATGTTTAAGGTGTTACAAATGGTTCAAACATTCAGTGTATGTCTGGAGTTTTGTAAACAAAACATCACTGGTACAAGCTATTGCAAATTTGCCCCATTGATAAAAAAATAACCAAAGACAGGTCCGGTAACCAATGCCTCTAAGCATCCTGTCTGACCACTCAAGGCCCATCACCTGTAATTGACCTATAATTGCAGTGGCTGTGAGGAACACAAGTCTTCACATCTAGACAAATCCAAAAACAGGAGCCAGGCAATTTAACAATTGTAATATGATGACTTCAGTTGGCCAGCTCTCAAGGAAAAATGCTTTGAAGCTATACAATTAAACAGTATAAAGCAAGACAGAACTGCCAGCAAGATGTGTGCAGTCCAGGGAAGACCAAGAAGCTATTCTGCCACCCAGCCAACAAGTGAAGGATCCATGCTGTGAGGCTGTACAAGAACTGCCTGCATTGAGTAAAGATCTCTTTGCAGCTAAGATAATACAAGGGCTAGTAGCTCATTTTATATTAGGAGTCTTTTTCTGTCATTTAGTTTTGTAGCTTGTTGGTTGTAATTAGGGGTGCGAAGTGGGCCCTATTCAATTTGGATTCAGATTCAGCCTGAATCAGGGACAGTGATCTGATTTGTCGATTTGGATCACTGTCCCTGATTCAATTCAGCCAAATCTGAATCTGAAGATTCAATGCTGATTTGGAGAATGAGCGATTCAGACATAGACACAACTTTAAATGTTGTTTCTACATACCTTGAGGTACCAGCATGACTCATGATCACTGTGATGCTGGGGCAGATAAAGCATCCCACAGGAGTGTAGAAGGGCCCTCCAAGTGCTCAGCGGTGAGCCCAGAAGTGGACCAGAAGTACTTCTAGTCCACTACCGGGTCTGCTGGGGAGCACGCAGGGGGGCTCCCCTGTGCCCCCCCAGCTCAGCGATCGGCCATGGGGAGACCCCGGGTGCCACCCCAGACCCAGGAGGCACTAGTTGCTGAGCCATGAGGATGCAAGGGTTCCCCCAGTGTGCTCTCGGGCGGACCCGGAAGTGGACCAGAAGTGCTTCTGGTCCACTTCTGGGTCTGCTGCCAGGTGTGCTGGGGAGCCCCTCATGCTTATGTGGGACACTCCACTTGCCCCAGCATCACAGCATTCACAAGCCACCTGCTACCTAGAGGTATGTTGAAAAAACATTTAAAGTTGTGTCCATGTCCAAACTCCCGAATCTTTCCAAATCTTTCTGAATTGATTCAGAGGGTTCCAATTCGATTCAGAGAGATTAAAGGGGCCTCTGATTTAATTTGGATTCAAAGATTCAGCCACCAAAGCTTCGCACAGCCCTAGTAGTTATTAAATCAAGCCTTTCTGCTATTCATCAACGAGTGTTATGTCAATTCTTAGAGCACTAGGTTTAAAAACCCGTTTTTAAGTGCAACGCCAGCCAGCCCCTCCAATGTCTACACATGCACTGCTGTGGAGTTTTTACTCCACAGCAAGATAGTACTTTTATTTACTGTTGCAGAATAAATTAGTTTACTACAGCCTAATAAGGGTGCACATGTGGTCACTGAGAAATTTATCATGCAGCTAATTAGTCAACTGAGCAGTAAGTGTCTCATGTAGACATGCCCACTTAATACTTATATTGAGTCAGTTCCATCTAAGACTAAGAGGCCATCAAGCTAACATGGTTAAGGCAAGCCAATTTCTTTGCATACAAGAGAACATGATGAGTATAATGTGGAGCTGCTTTTGATTCCACAATCTATATGGCAAAGCATTCATTTACACCTAGCACAGTCTTTGTTCCAAGTCTGGAGTGGGCCTGAACTCCACTCTAGGAACCATGCACAACACATTACCTACTTTGCTATCAAGCCCCTGAATCCTTGACCCTAACCCTTTATATGCTCTAACTGTAAATGCATTAAAATTAAATAAACATATTTTAAAGCTGCTCTTGAAATCCAAATATTTTTAGGAACAGGGTTGAGAGACAGCATTTAATCTCAGACTTCAGCTGAGAGTCTAGGTATGACTGGCACATTTCATCAGAACGTTAAGATGTCTGCTGTCCAAAAATTTTATAAAATTACATTGAACTCTATCACATGAAAGTTACATTAGCTGCATTCTATTATACAATGCAATGAAATGTCAAAGGAGTACTCAAGATGAAATGCCAGAAAAAGAGACATCAACTGAAGGCTGTGTGAAACCACAGTTTCCCCAAAATTATGGTTTGAAGATAAATATGGCTTTTAAAGAAAACCATTTTTTAC